CTTCATTTCAAAGGAGGTCAAAGAGAATTTATCCTGGAGCCAAATGAGTGACCATGGCCAGGGAGTGCAGACTTAGGTCACCCACAGTTTCCAATGTGGAAGTACTTTCATGAAGCTTTTATAGTAACAAAACAATGAAAGCCATCCATCAAGCACTTGTTCCACATTGTTGGAACAGGAATCATTAGGTAGGTTAAAACAAAGTGGGGAAACCTGCTTTCAGGCTTCAGGAGCTATTTGACAGTACACTTAGCTTTTTGGTTGGCAAGAAACTAGTACCCTGTACATTTCAAATAAAAACTCTGTCGACTGTTCCTGTGTTCCAAATGATCTATCTGAATGTCATGAAGATGTCATCTATGAAGTGTCTGGTCCTAAGAAATCTCTTCTCCCAAACTTAGGCATTTAGACAAAAGACAGCACCCCATCAGGAACTTAGGAAAATAGCTTCTACCTGCTAAAGGGAAGCAGTCTCTTTATCTGTGGGAAAGGGGAACTCTGGCTCTCCCATTAACACATACCTGTGGTGCCTATTAGCATATCAAAGTCTATTAAACACATCAAAGTCCTCCAGTCCAGCTTACAGGTTCCCCTCCTTCCCTAAAAGCTTTGGAAACATCCCCCACACACCCACCCATCACTTCTCTTTGCTTCCCTGAGCGCCTAGGCAGTTTGGAATAAACCTTTCCCTTTTACCCACAATGCCAGCTACTTTAGTTTCTTTTCTTTTTTCAGTAGCACAGAATCTATTAGAGTCTGATCAAATATTGGTTACACAGTCACTGCTAGTCAGCAGGTAGGTTCCTTCTTGGGGAAGGATGAAAGTCATTTGCAAAAAGCTGGAGTCACCAGCTGGACAGTGGTGGCGCACGCCTTTTATCCCAGCATCTGGGAGGCAGAGGCAGGCAGATGTCTGGGAGTTCAAGGCTAGCCAGGTCTACACAGAAAGTCCTGGGACGACCAGAGCTGTTACACAGAGAAACCTTATCTCAGTCAACACACACACACACACACACACAAAGAAGAGTCACCATCCTTCCTAATACCCATGAATATTCCATAGAAGAGGTAGATAGAGCTAGACTGCAGCAGCTGAGCAGTGATATGCTAGGTCTTTGAGTAGGTGATGCCATCCAATAGAGTCAGTTCCTTCAGCCACTAAGAGAAAAGGCTGGACATTGCCACCTGTCCTCGGGGACTGACAGGACTTTACTAGGCTGGTATGGGGCTTTCTGTTGCAGCTGCACAGTGGATGCCTTTTTCTGGACTATAGCACTGCAGCTGGGGTTCCTTCTCTTCTTACCAGCATTACTCCCTGAAGTCAGGGAAGAAAGCTGCAATGTCTCTGCTGGAGGAAACCACAGAGTCTGAGCCATGGGTAGTGTTTCGGGTGTCAGTGAGGCCCAAACTCCCATGACTTGAATCTGGGGCCATGTGGTGTGCTCGAAATACTCTGGTGGACATCAGTGTCCTCCAAAGCTGGATGGCATCTTTGTGGGCAAGGATGTATGTGGGAACAAAAGACCTTGTCCAGAGGCCCACTTCCCCATCAGCCTGGGAGCAGGCAGCTGTAAGACAATGTTTACTAAAAACATGTTTACTGAAAGCCAGGCGTTGTTGGTGCACGCCTTTAATCCCAGTACTCAGGAGGCAGAGGCCTGCAGATCTCTGTGAGTTCGAGGCCAGCCTGGTCTACAGAGTGAGTTCCAGGACAACCTCCCAAACAACACAGAGAAACCCTGTTTTGAAAACAAACAAACAAACAAAAACCATGTTTACTGAAAACAATCTGGTGTCCACATGAAATGTTTACTGGAGCAATAAATTCCTGATAAGGGCTCACCCACTGAAACGCCCTGACCTAGATCTTTTCCAAAGACTAACCGCCTCTTCCTGACCCACCCACCGCTGTCTCTGGTGTCAGGGAATAACCAGCCAGTGGTAAGAAAGGAAGCAGAAGCTTTTCTTGAGGGAAGCCTTTCTTGGGAAGTTTTCTTGAGCCTTCTTGGGGCCTGCTTAAAGTTTTCTTCGTACCACCGACTGGTCTCTGTGTCATCAATCCCGACATCCTCTGCACATCCTCAGATACAGTCTGCACAGCCGGGCGAGGCAGATGTAAGCTTGGATTGACCCACTGGCCATGAACTCCACCAGCCGCTGATAGAAAAAAGCATCCTTCATGCTCTTGGTAAAACCTGCGGCAGTAGCAGGGTGTTGGTGGCACACACCTTTAATCCCAGCACTCGGAGGCAGAGGCAGGCAGATCTCTGTAAGTTCAAGGCCAGCCTGGTCTACAGAGCAGCCTCCAAAACAATACAGAGAAACCCTGTCTCAAAAAAAAACCCCAAAAACCAAAACAAAAAACAAACAAACAAAAACCCTGTGGCAGTATTCCTTTATCCACTGAAGTTCTCTAGTTCATACAATGAGGAACTTGTTGCTCAGACTCTGCTGATGAACAGCCTCCAGAATCAGTGGGTGGGCAACTGCATCAGGCTTGATCAGGGCGAGTGTGAGCTAGAGAGTCTGAGGACTTTGAAAGATCAAGGTCATCTCACCCCTGGCTTTCCATAGTATTTAGCTGGGTAAATGAGGGCATGGACCTGATCCAGGCATTCCAAGGCCAGGCGGTTAAGAGATTTCCAAGGGAGGACAGGCAACGATCTGGGCTTCTTTACTCCAGGCCAAAGCCCACCTGGAACTCAGCTGTCCCTGCTTCAGCTACTATAGTTTCCTTACTGCCCTATTTCATTCGACCAGGGCTCAAACCCTGGGAGAGACATAAATGAGTGTGACGGTTTGAAAGAAAATGGCCCCCATTTTACAAAAAGTAGGCATGTCCTTGTTGGAAGAATCTTGTCACTGTTAGGGTGGGCTTTGAGGTCTCTTTTGTTCAAGCTTCCTCAACATGACTTCCCATTGCTTGCAAAATGTAGCACTCAGCTCCAGTACCATGTCTGCCTGCACGAAGCTGTGTTCCCCATCATGATGATAATAGGCTGAACCCTTCAAACTGTATGTGAGCCACCCCAATTAAATGTTTTCTTTATAAGAGTTGCGGTGGTCATGCTTCCTCTTCACCCAATAAAAACCCAAATTAAGGCAATGAGCTTCCCTCCAAGGGGTTTGGCCTCTCTTAATTGAACCTAACTGCCCATTTTGCCCTCCTGGGTATGGATCAATTTCTCAGGCTGGATTCTGCCACCTGAAATATTTTGGCTCCAAATTCTACAGTCCAAACTCTTCAGCTAGATTCTCCACAATCATTGAATGGTAGACAGACTGCATTCCCCACCCCACATGATACCTCTTTACTGGGCAAAGAACATGTATGTATGGATGACAACATCTGCCAATAAAAATGGAAACTATACTATGTGAAAAAGTTCTGCTATCTCCTATCTCATTGATTGAATTAAATTTTCACTCGTTTTGTTTATAGCATATAAAGTATCACATTCTTTTTTAGAACATATTTTATTTAAAAATAAACATTGACAATTCCCTATTATCCACCACCCTAAAGAATTTTGAATGTGGAATGTTCAACAGCCTAACCATTTTTTACAGTTCTTTTTTTCAGTCTACACTCTTTTTTTAATGTTTTATTTTATTATGTATACAGTTTTTTATCTGCGTATATGCTTGCACACCAGGAGAAGGCATCAGATCTCATTATAGATGGTTGTGAGCCATCATGTGGTTGCTGGGAACTCAGGACCTCTGGAAGAACCTGCAGTGCTCTTAACCTTTGAGCCATCTCTCCAGCCCCCAGCCTAACCATTTTTAGTAGGCAACAAAACCAGCAAAAACTCCAGTGGTCTAATGATGAATATCTGAGAATAATTTTGTTTTGTGGTTGAGTAGCTGATTACCTGCATTTTAAAAAAATGTGTGCTAAAGGCTGAAAGTAAAATTAATTTTCTGTGCAGAAAACATTCACTTAGTAGCCTTTGCTTAACATAAGGAATGGATTCTCCATGAAGTAAAATGGAATGGGACAGCAAGCAGCATTAAGTTCAGAGGCACACAGAACCGGTGCTCAAACTGCCAGCACAAGTCCCAACACAGAACAATCGGCTAAACACTAAACTTTCCATCTCCATCAAACTGCACACTCTCCCTATGCATCTAAGGCAAAGAATCAACACTTTGAACGTAATGTCTCCACAAGAAAAGGGGAATTCAATTAAGATTAAATTAGACAAAAAGATAAATAAAAGTCCTTTACAGCTGGGCGTTGGTGGCGCACGCCTTTAATCCCAGCACTCGGGAGGCAGAGGCAGGTGGATCTCTGTGAGTTCGAGGCCAGCCTGGTCTACAGAGTGAGTTCCAGGACAGCCTCCAAAACAATACAGAGAAACCCTGTCTCGAAAAAAAAAAAAAAAAAAAAAAAAAAAAAGTCCTTTACAAACAGCTGCTAGACACAACCACAGAGTCTGTGACACTAACAATGCATGTGGGTAACTCACTTTAGCTGCTGGCTGTGGAACACCAGTGTTTCAAGATACAACTTTTAGAAACATGTTTTATTGTTTTGCTTAAAGTATTACCTTCTTTTGGGGCTGACATGCTAGAACTATTTCTGATAAGCTAGAATCATTTTCCCAAACCACTTTCTTTCTTTCTTTCTTTTTCCTGGACATGGTTTCTCTGTAAAACAATTCTGGCTGTCCTCGAATTCACAAGAGATCTGCCTACCTTGCCTCCTGAGTGCTGGGATTAAAGGCATGTGCCATCAAAACCACTTTTTAGGATCTAGAAAATGATGCCCACAAGAGTGTAGTATTTAACTAGGCTTCTGGGCTTTGTGTTTTTCACATGCCTCGCCACTCTGTCCTTGCACATGGTCGTAAAGCCGACCAATGAATGGTAAGAACTCGGAACCCACGCTAGGCGGGGAGTTAAAATTCTCGGATCCTTTGCTGCCGGTGAAGGTTGCAGGCCGGCCGCATATTCTGCGCACGCGCGGGCACCAATCCGGCGGCGTGTCAGCGCTAGGGGGCGGGGCCTCGCCGCACTTCTGGGCCTCCGTAGCAGGGAGTCGCGTTTTGGCGTCCTTGGCCGCCCCTGCAGCGTGTGAGCCGCACCACCAACCGCGCGGCATGCTGCTGTTGGCTTTGGGCGGCCGGTGGGCAGCAGGACTGCGACCCGGCGGGACGAGGACTAAGTGGTGTGCGGCCTCCGCTCTCCGAGGTTCCGGGGTCGCCTTCTGGCGTGCGGCCTCCCGCGCCGAGCCCTCGCGACTGCCGAACGGCGGGCTTCTGCCACGAGCCGAGCCCCGCCCGCTCCCCGGGGTAGCGCAGGTCGGCCGACCGTGGGCTGGGGTGGCGGGGGAGCGGGTGCAGCGTGCGAGCTGGGGGAGCTCCCGGCCCGCTGTCCTGAGCTCCGGCGCGCAGGGAACCCTCACCGTGTGGGCCCGGGAGCAGCAGGCCTCGGGTCCGGCTGCGGCTGACAGTCCGGGGTTGAGCAGCCTGCAGAGAAAGGGATTCCTCTGTGTGTGTGTGTGTGTGTGTGTACAAGGCGTCTCTATCAGCTGGCCTCAGTATCCAGGTTGACCTCGAACTCACAAGACCCACTTACGTGATTCCCTAGTGCTAGTATTGAAAGCTTGCGCCACCACACTGGGACTAGTTTCTTTCCTACCCACACTCTGAAGGTCAGAAAATTCCTAAGAAATTGATGCAGCACCTGGAGTCAGACTCCGAAAAACTCACAAAGCTTCATTGTGGGTTCTGTGTTGTTTATCTCTGCTTTTAGGGATATCTTTGATTACGGAGAGGGAAGGTGGGTAATGAATGTTAGCCTTTCATGTTAATGTGAACAAACTTCATAGGTCTACATTATAAAATACAAGAATTAATAAACTGCCGGGGGGGAGGGTGGTTCACGGCAGAGTCAGGAGGATCTCTGTGAGTCCGAATCCTGTCTTGACTACAGAGCGAATTCCACGCTGTTACACAGAGAAATTCTGTCTCAAAACAATAACAGCTCGGCGTTGGTGGCGCACGCCTTTAATCCCAGCACTCGGGAGGCAGAGGCAGGCGGATCTCTGTGAGTTCAAGGCCAGCCTGGACTACCAAGCGAGTTCCAGGACAGCCTCCAAAACAATACAGAGACCCTGTCTGGAAAAAAGAAAACAACAACAAAGCAATAGCTGCTAGGAGCTAGGCGTTGGTGGTGCCTGCCCTTAATCCCAGCATTTAGCACTCGGGAGGCAGATGCCTGTGAGTTCAAGGCCAGCTTGGTCTACAGAGCGAGTTCCAGGACAGGCTCCAATATAGAGAAAAACCTGTTTCTAAAAAAACAAACAGCAAAAGCAACCCCCCCAGAACATAACAATAAACTTTGAAGACATGTCTAAAGTGGAAATTGAATTATTTTGTTTTGTTTGGTTTTTTTTGGAGGAGGGTTTCCATACGTAGCCTTGACTGTTCTGCAACTCGTAGACCAGCCTATCATTGACTTCAGATTCCGAGATCTGAGTGCTGGGATTAAAGACATATGCCGCCATCCCATGCAGATGTTAGATTCTTAGCTGAATTTCTGTGTGTGTGTGTGTGTGTGTGTGTCGTTCGTGTGTGTTCGAGGCTGACCTGGAATTCAGTAGACCAGGCTCTCCTCCAACTAATCCACCTGTCTTTTCCTTCCGAGCCTGGAATTACAGGCCTGCCACCCAGCTCTTAGATGAATTTCAACACAAAGAAATTAGGCATACTTTTTACACTTGTAACTAAGAGCAGTGTGAAATTCATTTTTAGATATTCATTTTCAAATATTTGAGAAACTTGATATGGTGAAATTTCACATAGCTTTCAAGCAGTGGTAAAAGGGCTGGGTATAGTGGCTTCCCTGTGGAAGCTCAGAAGGCTGAGGCAAGGGATCTACATGGGCTGTATTATGGATACCTTCATCTTCAAACAAGAATGAGGTACAAAAGTTTTAGGGAAACACTTTTTTTGTTGTTTTGTTTTTTCTAGATAAGGTTTCTCTGTAACAGCTCTGGCTGTTCTAGAACTCAATCTGTAGACCAGGCTGGCCTTGAACTCAGAATTAAAGGTGTGGCACACCACCACCCAGGGATCAACTCTTTTTAAAAACAAGTTATAATGTAAGCAGTTCTTTTTTTTGAGACAGGGTTTCTCTGTATTGTTTTGGAGGCTGTCCTGCTCTATAGACCTGGCTGGCCTCGAGCTCAGAGAGATCCGCCTGCCTCTGCCTCCCGAGTGCTGGGATTAAAGGCGTGAGCCACTAATGCCCGGCATAAGCAGTTCTTAAGTATAGACTTTAAAGCCATTGGATTGGCAAGATGCCCTGGCCTGTGACTGTAGTTTTTGATCTCTGGACATGGATGTGCTCACATACACACACACCCACCAAAAAAAACCTAAACAAGCTGGGCGTTGGTGGCGCACGCCTTTAATCCCAGCACTCGGGAGGCAGAGGCAGGCGGATCTCTGCGAGTTCGAGGCCAGCCTGGTCTACAAAGTGAGTTCCAGGACAGCCTCCAAAGCTACAGAGAAACCCTGTCTCGAAAAACCAAAAAAAACAAAAACAAAAAAAAAAAAAACCCAAAACAAAAACCCTAAACAGCCTCAATTTACAGTTTTGCTAAGATATTTCATTAAACTTAATTTTAAAAATCATTTGTTCATATGTACTGTGTGACAGGGTTTCACTGTGTAGTCTCAGCTGTTCTGGAACTTACTCTGTTGACTAGGCTGATTTGGAAGTCTGTCTGCCTCTGCCTTCCAAGTGCTGGTATTAAAGACGTGGACCACTGCTACCTGGCTGGGTGTCTTGTTATTTACCATAAACGAACAGACCACAAGCTGGGCTTTGGTGGCACATGTCTTTAGTTCGTCCCCACACTGGGGAGGCAGAGGCAGGCGGAACTCTGTGAGTTCGAGGCCAGCCTGATCTATAGAGCGAGTTCCAGGACAGCCTCCAAAACAATACAGAGAAACCCTGTCCTGTCCTGTCTTGAAAAACCAAAAAAAAAAAAAAAAAAAAAAAAAGCAGACCACAAAATACACAACAGAACCCACTTTAACAGTTTTATTGTTAGAGAGTGGGAGAGGACAGGGGTTGTGTACAGGCTTGTCTGGGAGAAGCTTGGACAGAGAGGGGTAAGGGGCATGTCTGCCTTTTCCTGGTGAGTATGTATCAGGGCTTACGGAGCTATACCACACATGTGTATAGGTTATATAAAGCCCTGGAATGACTAGGCATTTTACCTGAATGCTGATGGCTTATGTGTAACTGCTCCCAGAAATGCTAACACATGAGGTGACTTAAGCCATGGAGGCCAGGAGACGGGTTACGTCCCATGGACTTGTGTTACAGAAGGTTGTAAGCAGCCATGTAGAGATAAGGTCTCTGAATCTCAAATCCTTGTTTTGGCTTTTCGAGGCAGGGTTTCTCTGTGTAATAGCTCTACCTGGCTGTCCTGGAACTATAGACCAGGCTGGCCTTGAACTTAAGAAAGATCCACCTGCCTCTACCTTCCCAGTGTTGGGATTAAAGGTGTGTGCCACCACCGCCAGGCTAAATCTTTGTATCATACTGTAACGAGTTCTCCATAAATAAATAAAAATAAAGCTTTGCCAAAAACTAAAAATCTGCTAAAAAAAAAAAACGGTTTGTAAATGGTTTCTTGTTTCAATAGATACCTGTTTGTTGGGAGCAATGTGTTCGCTGCTTACATACAAAATATGATAAGCCAGAAGATGGAAGGCTGATTTATGCTGGGAACCTGGCCCGCACAGTATTTGGTGGGTAATCTGAAGTGATATTGTTTCCTTATTTTTCTTTCTTTATGAGATTGTAATTTAATTGTATTTTCCCTTCCCTTTTCCTGCCTTCAAATCCTCCCATATATTCCTCCTTACTCTCCTTCAAATTCTCGGCCTCTTCATTAATTGCTATTACATGCATATGTACATATATGTCCCTAACTATAACTTGTTGAGCCTATAAATGTTACTTGTTTGTGTTTTCAGGGCTTATGGTTTACACTGGAAAACCAATTGGTGTGCTCTTTCCTGGGAAGGACCACCACTCCCATGCCCAGCCTTACTCAATGGCCTGTAGTTCTTTATGTGTGGGGTTGAGTCCTCCTAGGCTCGTTCCTACCCAGGAAATATTTTAGCACTTGTTGCTTCTGTTTTTAGCACTCAATTATTACAACACATAAGGAAAATTGTTTTTCTTTCCTTGAATCCCATTGATATAATGTAGAGGTTGAGGCTTTCCATTTTAGGAGTTTTAAATAGATGTTTGAAGGCTAAATTGTGAGGGGGGGAGATCCACCCTCAGCGTGGGTTTTCCATTCCCTCTGTGGGGTCCTGGGCTGAATAAAGAGGAGAAAGCTATCTCCTGATGCTGGTGCAGTGATGCAGTGTGCCGGTCACATCAGGTTCTTGCGTTACGCCTTCCCGGGTAATACTTTCTTAGAAACTGGAACCAATACAAATGTACTTTCTTACAGTTCTGCGGGCTAAAGGTATAGAGGTGAGGTGTGCACTGGACCATGCTCTGGGAAGGCTCTAGGAAGCACTTATCCCATCCAGCTTCTGGTGGCTCTTAGCATTCTGGGCTTGTGACTTGCCTCACTGTGCCTGCTGCTTGCTCTTGCTTTGGCTGCCTCCCTACATCTCTTATTTTTTTCTGTCCTTATAAGGGCACTCTCATTGGATTTAGAGCCCACCTTAATCAGCATGATCTCATCTTGTTCCTCAGATCTGCATCCAAATAAGGACACATTATAAAGTTCTAGTTAGGCACCAGTTTAGGGGATACTACTTAACTCACTACAGTGTAAAACAGGAAAAAAAGGTATTTTGGAAGGGGTGGGGAATATAGGAGGCACCATGTTCATACTGATGTCATAGCAACCACCTGGGGGAAGAAGAGAGGAACTATTTTTAAATTAATGACAATAGAATTAAGCTTTCAGCCAATAGTAGTGTGTAAAAGTGGCTGCTTAGTTCCAGGGACCAAGGATTCAGCCATGAAACTAGGAGATCTTTTTGCATTCAGATTGTAACAATGGCATAGGAAGAAAATGTTGGACTAATTAATAGGATATATTGGTTTTATAAAACTTAGTAATTAATCTCTTTTTTCTCTGTAGGTGTGAAATGTTTCTCTTACTCTACAAGTGTGATCAGCCTTGCATTTTTACCATATCTTCTTTCACAAAATATGACATTTGGAAGTCTGCCTTTACAAGTCTTATTTTATGGGATCATGGGAAGCTTCACAGTGATCACTCCTGTTCTGCTTCACTTCCTTACAAAAGGCTATGTCATTCGGTTGTACCATGAAGCCACAACTGACACTTACAAAGCCATTACTTATAATGTTGTGCTTTCGGAAACCAGCACAGTGTTTCATCAAAATGATGTGAAGATTCCAGAGAGCTCACATTTATTTACCACCTTTTATGCTAAAACAAAATCACTGTTGGTCAATCCAATGCTCTTTCCAAACCCTGAGGACTATAACCATCTAATGGGTTATGACAAACCATTCACTTTTGATATAGAAGAATTCAGTGAAAAGAAACTGCATGAGGATGAAAAATGAATCTGTTCTTTGTTTTTGCTTAAATGTCATGTATATTTCAGTGTATAATAAGATTGCCTATATTTTGTTATTGTTAGTGAATGATTAAAAAAGTTTAAAGGCTGAAGACACAGTGCAGTTGGTGTAGTGTTTGCTTTACATGAGGCCCTGGGTTTGACCCTCATCACATAAGTAGGTGTGCTTGTGTACACCTATAATCCCAGCACTTCCAAAATGGAGGTAGGAAGATCAGAAATTTGGGGTCATCCTTGGTGATGTAGTAGGTTTGAGATCAGTCTGGGCTATGTAAGGCCCTGTCTTAAAACTAGAAAGTTGATCTGGGCAGTGATGGTTCAAGCCTTTAATCTCAGCACTGGGAGGCAGAGGTAGGTGAATGTCTGTGAATTTGAGGCCAGCATGGTCTACACATTGAGTTCCAGGACAGACAGCTGTTAACACAGAGAAAAGCCCTGTCTCTTGCTGGGCTGGTGCACACCTTTAATCCCAGCACTTGGGAGGCAGAGGCAAGCAGATCTCTGTGAGTTCGAGAACAGCCTGGTCTACAAGAGCTAGTTCCAGGACAGGCTCCAAAGCCAAAGAGAAACCCTGTCTTGAAAAGCCAAAAGAAAAAAAAGTTAATAGTCTTGAGATTCCCAGAAAACATCCTGGAAAAGAATGCCTTAAGCTTGGTATGTTATTTTACCATTTAAAAATACTTCTCTCTGGAAGAAACACGGTCTCTGTTGGCAGCCATAACAGGAAATGTTAATTGTGATGGAATTCTCAGCCAGCATCAACTGAACTCCAGAAAAAGTAGCTCTTGTTTTTTCCTTCTTTCTGAAACTTCATCTTCTCACTCCTGACTGTGTTGCATAAATCTCCCTCAGCACTTCACTATTGTAACTAATTGATGGTATTGAGGACAAGTGACCAATCATAGCTTTTTAACGTGAATGTCAAGGAAGGCTGTGGCTTTGACCCTATAAACTCTGGTAACATTAGTTAACAAGTTTTTTTCCCCTGTAATTTATATTTTGTTTTATGTGTATGAGCATTTTATCTGCAGAAGCAGAAAGAGGAGTTGGATCACCCTGACCTGGAGTTACAGAACATGAACTGTGGTTTAGGTTCTCAGAACCAAACCCTGGCCTCCTGTAAGAGCATCGAGTGGTCTTAACCGCTGAACCACTTCCTCAGTCCCAACATTTACAGTAGTCCCGGGATTCCTTTTCTTTATAACTTGTTTTACTCTTAACAACTTCCTCCTGCCTCTGATGTAGCCAGAGGCATACTCACAAAGGTTTTGTTGTTTTGAGATGGGCAGGCCTGCTCACTATAGTCCCGGCTGACCTCAAACTCAAACTTGAGCCCATCCTCCTCATTGCAAGCATCGCAAGTAAGCACCAGCAGACCAGCAGGCCCACTTAATGTTTCTTTTTGTTTTTCCTTTTCTTAAATGAATGGAATGTAGATTTATTGAGGAAAAGTGGAAAAAGAACTCACAGGAGCAGAAGGGTTTTAGAGGAGGAATACCCAGTTTTATAATTTATACAAATGTTTAACAAAATATAAACACATTCAGATGATGCAAGACTAGGAAACAAGTTCATTAGAGATGCCAGTGTGTGTCACTGTCCTGCTTGTACATATCTTTAAGTGTCCCGCATACATGTGGTCATTTTGTCACTTGTGAAAAAAAGTCTTTTTAGTTTGTAACAGAATAATTCAAATAACATTTTGTTTGGGGGCAGGGAAGCCCTGAGTGGATAAGACCTCTGAAGGACGTTGTTTGGAGTGAAACCAGGATCAGCATTTATTTTAGCAGAATTTAACCACATAACTTTGTTGGTTGTAATTTGTCAAGTAGTCCCAATGTTCCTTGGTAGCTAGCTATGGACAGGCAGTTTTTTTAAAAATCAATTTTAATGACTAATATTAACTCTCAGATCACATATTAGGTATGGAATAAACACATCTATCCATTTGAATATATGCAGGTTATAGGATGTCTACAAGTGTTAAAAGGAGGCTGGCGAAGTTCCAAATGGCCATACTGTTACAGCTGTAAGACAGAAGACACTAAGCCAGGCGCTGGTGGCGCACGCCTTTAGTCCCAGCACTTGGGAGGCAGAGGCAGGCGGATCTCTGTTGAGTTCGAGGCCAGCCTGGTCTACAGAGCTAGTTCCAAGACAGCCTCTAAAGCCACAGAGAACCCCTGTCTCGAAAAACCACCAAAAACAAACAAACAACAACAACAACAACAAAAAAACCAGACAAGATACTAAACTGAACTGGAGAGCTGCTGGAGGTAGCAGTTCCAGCCCAGTAAAGTCCAGCCGAGATGCAGAACTTCAGGGGAGGGCCACATAGATATGTGGCAGATGGACAGATGGATGCAAATTTGGGCCATGTCAAGTAGGGGACTGAGGTGGTCTGAGTAAGGCACTGGGGACAATTGGCTGTTCTCTTACTGTAGGCCTTTGAGGCCCACACCAGGCGGTCAGATGACAGGTTGGTGTGGGTGTCACCATCGATGTGTTAGGTGTCTTCATTATGGTGTCCAGGTCAGGACACTGCTGTGGTAGAATATTATTTTAAGGTGTGTGACTTTTGTTTATGCTTCATTTCTTTAACTCCATGAAGCTGTGATTCTTTGCGTGTCTAAAACACCTGAGGGTCTAATAAAGAGCTGAATGGCCAATAGTGAGGCAGGAGCAAGAATAGGCGGGGCTGACAGGCAGAGAGTAAATAGAAGGAGGAAGGAGGAAGAAGATCAGGAGAACAGGAAGAGGAGGACATCAGGGGCCAGCCAGGCAGCCATGGAATAAGAGTGAAGGAAAGATAGACAAGAGAAGAGGAAAAAGCCCTCTGGACAAAAGGTAATCAGGTTCATTTAAGATAAGAAAAGCTGGTTAGAAACTAGCCAAGCTAAGACCTGCATTCGTGATTAAGAATAAGCCTCCGTGTGTGAATTATTTGGGAGCTGGGTGGTAGCCACCCCAAAAGCCAAAAGAACAAAGCCAACACACAGCGAACAGCTTTTGTCAGTCTTATATGTTCTCTGACTTAGTTTTTAAATTTTTTTAACATTTTTTATTTTTATTTTTGTTTTTTCAAGACAGGGTTTCTCTGTATTGTTTTGGAGGCTGTCCTGGAACTCCCTCTGTAGACCAGGCTGGCCTCGAACTCACAGAGATCCGCCTCCCTCTGCCTCCTGCGTGCTGGGATTAAAGGTGTGTGCCACCAGCGCTCGGCGATTTTTTTACATTTATTTTTTTTTACATTCCAATCCCAGTTCCCCTCCTCTCCTCCTGCTCCCCCCCCCCAATTCCTCTCCACCCCACATCCCATCTGCTCCTCTGAGACGGTAAGGCCTCCCCTAGGAAGTCTACTAAGTCTATCTCATTATAAGGTTGAGGCAGGACCAAGGCATCTCCCCACCCCTCACCCTCAAACCCCTGTTTCTAGACTGGACAAAGTATCCATATAGAATGGGCTCTACTAAGTCAGTTTGTTCATTAGAGTTAAATCTTGAATCCATTGCCAGTGGCCTCATACATTGTCCCAGCCGCACCACTGTCACCTATATTAAGGGAGTCTAGTTTGGTCTTATGAAGATTCCCCATTTGTCAGACCTGAGTCAGTGATCTCTCACTAGCTCGGGTCAGCTGATTCTGTGAGTTTTCCCATCATGGTCTTGACTCCTTTGTTCATATTATCACTTCTCCCTGACTTTGATTGTACTCCACAAGCTTGTGGATTTCTGCATCTGCTTCCATCTGTTTCTGGAAGAGGGTTCAAGCTTCTCTGGGGTTGTGGATTGGAGGCTGGGTATCTTTTGTTTCATGTCTGGTATCCACTTATGAGTGAGTACATGCTATATTTGTCTTTCTGGGTCTGGGTTACCTTACTCAGGATGTTTTTTTTTCTAGTTCTCTCCATTTGTCGGCAAATTTTAGGATGTAATAGTTTCTTACTGATGAGTAGTATTCTATTATGTAAGTGTACCACATTTTCTTTATCATTTCTTTGGTTGAGGGGCATCTAGGTTGTCTACAAGTTCTGAATATTATGAATAACATTGCTATGAACCTAGTTGAGCAAATGTCCTTGTGGTGTGAATGTGCCTCCTTTGGGTATGTGCCCAAAAGTGGTATTGTGGGTTCTTGAGGTAGGCTGATTCCTAATTTTCTGAGAAATCACTATGCTGGTTTCCACAGCAGCTGTCCAAGTTTGGCCACATCCTCTCCAGCATAAGCTGTCATCTGTGTTTTTTATTTTAGCCATTCTGATCAGTGTAAGATGGTATCTCAGTGTTGTTTTGGTTTGCATTTCCCTCGTTATTAAGGATTTTGAGCAATTCCTTAAGTGTATTTCGGCCATTTGAGATTCTTCTTTGAGAATTCTGTTTATATCTGTATCCCATTTTTTAAAATTGGATTATTGGGTAGTTGGATTTCTAGTTTTTTGAGTTTTTTGTATATTTTGGAAATCAGCCCTCTGTCAGATGTGGGATTAGTGGATATTTTTTTCCCATTCTGTAGGGAGCCGTTTTGTCTTGTTGACCATGGTCTTTGCTTTATAGAAACTTCTCAGTTTCATGAGGTCTCATTTATTAACTGTTGCTCTCAGTATCTGTGCTACTGGTGTTCTATGGTCTCCTGTGCCTATGCGTTCAAATGTATTTCCCACTTTCTCTTCTATGAGGTTCAGTGCAGATGAGTTTATATTGAGGTTTTTGATATTTTGACTTGAATTTTGTGCAAGGCAATAGATATGGATCGATTTGCATTCTTCTACTTGTTGACAGCCAGTTATACCAGCACCATTTGGTGAATATACTTTCTTTCTCTTTTCCATTTATATTTTTAGCTTCTTTGTCAAAAATTAGGTGTTCATAGGTGTGTGGGTTGATATCAGGGTCTTTGATTTTATTCCATTGGTCCACCTGTCTGTTTTTATGCTAATACCAAACAGTTTAATTACTATAGCTTTATAGGAGAGTTTCAAGTCAGGGATGGTGATGGCCCAGATGATCCTTTCGATTGTACAGGTTGTTTTAACTATCCTGTGTTTTTGTTTTTCCATATGAAGTTGAGTATTGTTCTTTTGAGGTCTGTGAAGAAT